GATCTACATGCATGGGCCGGCCCCAATCCCCAAAATAGGCGCCAAAACCCGCGTTGTACCCGCGTACGGGCCCGCCAAAGTTTTTTTGGGGACAGTTCATAACTCGAGGATCTGAGAAGCTAGAAGGCTGAAATCTTGCAGTAATATTCCCCGCCCAAGCGGCTATTAGTGAGCTCAAACCCAGCCCCCGGGTAAGTGTGGTACCCCCGTACGAGCCCGCCAAAATTTTTTTCGGGTAAGTTCATAACTCGGGGTTCTGAGATGCTAGAAAGCTAAAATTTTAGGGGAATGTTCCCTGTCCAAGTAGGTGCTCATGAGGTCAAATCCAGCCCCCGGGGTAAGCGTGGTACCCGCGTACGGGCCGCCCAAAATTCTCCCCGCGCAAATTCATAACTCAGGGTTCTGAGACGCTAGAAGGCTGAAATTTTAGGGGAATGTTCCCCGTCCAAGCAGGTGCTTACGAGATCAAACCCAGCCTCCCGGGTAAGCGTGGTACCCACATACGAGCCCGCCAAAATTTTTTTCGTGTAAATTGATAACTCAAGTACCTTGAGAAAATAATGGAATGCAATTTTAAGGGAATATACCCCGTCCACCTAAGTTTCATTCAGCTCGAACCCAGCTGCTTAGTAAACATGCACAGGCCCTTGAAAATTTTGTTCCAGTAAGTTGCTAACTCACGTGCCAGGGAAGCTAGAAAGTTGAAATTTTAAGGGGATGTTTTCTGACAGTTCTGGTGGCCAGTCTTAATTTTGTTTAGTAGAAGCACTTGCCGAATAAACCGGTGCCGGTAGCAACAAAAACTGCGGGGAACCATGCAAAAAACGCATCTTGGCACGGGCAGCCCGTGCGTTGGCCAATTATCGACTATGTTTTGCTTATTTAAATCTGTTTCTTCTCTACATGGCGAGTAGGTACTGGACTACTCCCATTCTAGTCGCATCCGATGCTCCGTCTGTAATTACAACTAAGGGATGAAACATAAACCGCAAACTTATCTGATTCTACCGAACATGTAAATTTTAAACAACCTTACTAGACATTTGATGCACAACTAGTATTAAGTCCTTTCAAACAGAGTGAAATGCGGAAGAGATTTCTAAGCAAAACTGACTGGTTGAATGGAGGGATTTCGATATGCTGCAAGCTCAGAAACCAAAGAAAATGAGATGCCTTTTGTCCAGTGAGAATTCAAAATCCAGCAAACTAGTCTGCAGTGGAAGAATTTGGCAGTAAAAAAAAAAAAATACAGGAAAAAACGGCAGTTCAAAATTCAGCGAAAAATAACATGTTGCAGCTACGAGTCGCGTTTGTTTGTGAATGCTTCCTATAATTTTAACTTTCTCAAAAAAAAAACATAAGTATCCTACAAATTTTCTGGATCACAAAATATTTGCCACTGAGATCACTTCCTGAAAAATTTTGGCAGGCCCCTTACACACCAATCATGCTCCTTCCTCCTCTTTTTCAAAAAAGACCACTTTGCTGCACATATGTTGTCCAAAAAAATATGCTTTTTCATTTAAATGAAACTTTACAATCAAATTTTTCTTCAAAATGCTCCGAGTCATTTACCGGGTATCAGCAAAAAACAAATTTGCTAGAGGGTTTTTTGGGGGCAGAAAAGGCAGCAGCTGGCGCGTGAATTTTTTTAATTATAAAATTTAAATTATAAAATTATTTATGACAAATTAAAATAATCAAAATAATTAATTCACTCATGTACATCAAAAGCTAAAATTACGAAGAAGTCTGGGAAAGGAAGAGGGGACATATTGCTCAAAAGAAAAGCTGACGCATATCGTCAATAATAATAATGCATCCGGTCGCTTCGCATCCTGGTGTTTATTTCTTCGGCTCCACGTGTTTTCCCCTCAAAAATTTTCGAAACGTTTTCGCCATTAAGCGCCAAAGGAAATGGCAACATAAATATTCCCCAGTTAGTAAGTTATCCCATCGTAGGTTAGGCTGCAAACTTAAATTTGCCTGATCCATTGGAATATGTAATTTTCTAACAGTCGTACTAGATATTTGGTATGTTAACATTCGAGGAGAGAACAATAATGATTTCAACACACTAGGGGCATCTCAAAACGCCTAAGGCCTTGCCAAAGTACTAGTGCTGAGAAAACCGTTGAGCTGGTAATCTCTCCAGGAAACGAACCGCAGCAGGCTGACCACCGGTCAATCCAGCACTGGTTAATGCAACTGGAATTGATTGCTGAATGGAGAACTGCGGTTATTCAAAGTATCAAAGCACGGACAACTGTTGTACTGCTAACAGTATTAATAAGCAGTCACAGTGCAGGTTTGCTCCATTTGAACGCTCAGTATATAAGGGGAATCAGCACACAATGATTTTCAGGAAAAGCCATCTTTATTTGCTTAAATGCGGCAATTTAATGTTGAGAAGTTTGTGATAGATTCTGTAGTAATCCAGAAATATGTATGGGTTTGTAGAAGGGAGAGGGAGGAGGGGAGGGGGGGAGGGGGAGGGGAGTTAGTAAGTTATTGCGTGTTCTTAAAGCGTAGCAATGAGAAATTGCTATCAATTTCATGGATCGGCGCGGCTGCTGCTGCTGCGACGGCACACATCAAACATCAACGGTCAGTTGGTGGGTATTTGAGGAAGCGGCGAGGGACGGCCGAGGAGTGCTTGTGTCCAATGTCACAATTTAAAATTTGCTATTCTCACGAGACATGTCACCGGCATCAATTCAAGTGCTCCCCCCCAACATAATTCCCATGCTTAATCACTCACTGCTACTGCTGCGACGGTGGTCAATCAGTATGTTGCAACGAAGGCAGTTAGCATTTCGGATTACGTTGAGTGCACTTGAACATGGTCAGGAGAAGCTCGTTATATGCGCGCTAATTGCACGTTTATTTACTACTGCCTACTATCAGCCACTATCCGAACATGCAACACTTTGCTCATTTGGCTAGCCTCCACCGCCAGCAACATCCGGCCTAAATCATTTTATTTGTTTCTTTCGGGAACCACCATTCGCAGCACTACGCATTTAAATAGCACTAATTTCCTTTAGCACCACTCTCACCTACCTCATTCTGACCAGCGGCTACTGCTCGGCAAAAATCACTCAGTGAGCAATTTCTTGACGGCTTCTTGCTTCAAAATTTCTTAACGGCCCCTTCTACTTTTTTTTTAAAGAGTGACGCTTCGAGTTAACACTGTTTTAAATTATTTTAAATCTTAACTCATCAATTTTTCATATTTTCTATCGAAGTTTACAAAATTAGTAAAGTGTAATGTCACTAAAGTAACAGACAGCACAGCAATATAAAGTTCTAATAAATTTTTTTCCGAAAAATTTTCGTACTACTCGGAAGAAAAAAAATTTTTTCTTTTTTTTTTGGGACTATGTGTGACTGACCATCCATTCACCCGTGCCCAGTTGACGGATGACCTGTTAAGCTGAAGGGGTGTTTGAATTTGCTGCGCTGACTAATGTGCCCTATGGCTGTAGGACGAGCGGTAACAAATCTATTCGGTTGTCTGCTGTTTGTCTGAAACTGATGGATTAGGGATTTTAGATCACTCTTTTTGCACCTGCTCCCTGTCTCGCTGGTACTTGCAACATAAGAAGCGGCCAAGGCAATATACATTCACTGGTGGGATGCAGTTAGATGGTAACACTGGGTGGCAGGTGCCCTCAGTTCATCATCTTCAAGCTCAAGACGGCAACGATTCGGCAGAGGAGTGATGCTTTAGATGCTACCAGTATTGCTCGCGATGTGTCGAAATTACTGGAATGCAGCAGTAGCAGCACCTCTTTTAGTC